CACACACACACACACACACACTAACACACACAAAATACAGTTTGTAAGAGCATATTGTGTACTATATACACAGGGTAATAGTTTAGCAGTAAACTTTACTAGAGTGGTAAAGAAGCATAGCAATGAATAAACAGTAATAAAAAAATTACATGTTGTGTTGAGTGGAGGGTTTTTTCCCTAGACCCAACCATGCTTTATTGTGTATTACAAATCACAACATCATTAGACAATTGTGTTCAAGACAAAGCTGTCACATCTAAGTAATGTACAAGACACATTAATGGGAAAAAAATCTTTGTTAAGAACCCACTATTGTTATTTGTGCAGTCTGAAGAATTTAGCTTTATGCTAGAGTAATGATCGGTCTGAGGAGACGCCATGAGTCTCCTCTAAGGTCTAAATAAATATGTCTATTTTGCCTCAGGAGAAAGCTATGGGAATAATAGTCACTAAAGTAGTCCAGTGACAATTATTAGCAAGGATATTTCCATTTTATTTTCAGTTCAGCAGGAAAATGAAAGCAGATGCTGTAAGCATATATATAGTAAATTCCTAGTGAACTTGATATGATCTTTTAGAGGTTATTTACAGTTTTAGCATTTAAAAAAAACTTCCATAGCATTTTTTTTCTTTGAAACTTGGAAAATAATGGCTTTACAAGGTTTTATCTTATTAAACTTTACAATAGGCAGCTCTTAAGCCTTTTTGGCAGCTCTTGAGCTCTTTTTCAAGGTCTATATATAATGAATGTCCATAACTGGTACTGTTTGGTCTGCTAATTCATAGTATGTAACTATTTTTATTTTTTTTAAAAGATTATTTTCTTAGATTCTGCATTTTCCATAAGCACTAGTGCAGGGGTGTCAAACTCATGTCATCATGGTGGCTTCATGTGACATATCATTACTTTCCTCCCCTCCGCTAAACCAGGTGTGGCCAACACGTAATGCATCCGGCCCATGGAGATAGATTAGAAAGAACAATTATCTCAAATTTTCAGAAAGTAATTGAGGCATTGCTGATCTACATCAGATAGCATAATAATAATAAAAAGCCCATAAAGAAAGTTCGGAAGGAAACAGATTTCAAGATGTGTCTGCATATTTCCTGCTTAAAACTTCATATTATATCTGCTTACAAATTATATTTTAACATTTCTCATCACATGGTTTGTTGTAATACAACTGGTAAGACTGCATTTGCTTTTTAAAATATGATTTATAATTCTATAAATATAATTCGTAAATACATTATGTGTAATAATATAATTATATCCAAGCAAATTATATTTAATACCATAATATATCATTATAATTATAAGTACAGTATAATGATATGTTTTTTCTCACTTGATTTTAAGATGAAAATTAAGCAATTCACTTTGGCACAATATCATAATTAATTAAATAGCAGGGAAAATAGGTTGACAAGGCAGTGCCTATAATCTTGCTTTCTGTTTTCTGTGCAGCATGTGATAGTTACCATTGGGGACCCCACTGCAGTAGTCGCTGCCAGTGTAAAAATGGAGCTTTGTGTAATCCCATCACTGGAGCTTGCCACTGCACTGCAGGATTCAAGGGATGGCGCTGTGAGGAACACTGTGACCAAGACACATATGGAAATAATTGCCACCAAAAATGCCAGTGTCAGCATGGAGCCACCTGTGATCACATCACTGGAGAATGCAGATGTCCCCCCGGATATACTGGAGCTTTGTATGCAATTGATATATTGGTTATGTGTTCAATATTAGTGAATTTCAGGAAGATGGCAATATCGTATTCATGCCATGATTATTCCTCTGGTGAAGATAGAAAAATAATTTGCACTCTGCTAATAGTTTTATTGGGATTTGAAATGGTCTCTCAGTTCCAAATCCAATATGCCAACTCGTGGATAACTAATAAGCAATAGAAATATGACAAGATGAACTATATTTTAATATTTTGAGGATGATTAAATGTATATAATGCATGGGGTTTTTTATGTTACTTTTATTAATGCTTGATTCCTTTTTTAATATGTTGGAAGGGTTTTTATCCTTAGGCAGGGTAAACAGTTTAAATAAATTCTAGTTGAACCAGAACTCATTGGATGAGATGTGGGAGCAGGGATGGGATGCTACTGGTTCTGCCCAGCTCTGTAGAACCGGTAGCTCTGAAGAGCAGCAGACACCGAACCGGTTCAGTGTCTGCTGCTGTTTGGCCCATGCACCCACCCGGGCTCTTACCTGACCTTTATTTCCTGCTTTTTCAACCTCAGCTGCTTTGTGCGGCACAGCTGAGGTTGAAAAAACAGTAAAATAGTGTCTTTTCAAATGCTGCGCACCTGCACGCAGTGCTTATCAGCTGCCCGGGTGGCACAGCTTAAGGTTTATTACACGCGCTCACAGCGCAAAATGTAATCACCAAACTGGTAGAAACACCAGTTGACTCCCACCCCTGTGTGGAAGGTTACCATTTCATAATCCGACACAGTGGACACTGATTTATAAAAGCCAAAATGAATGTTGTCAGGATATTTTTATAACAATAAATTATGACAGTAAATATGAAAAAGACTCTCAAGAAAGAAAACTCTGGTAACAGTTTGTATTTGAACCAAGGAAATGCTAGTTCAAATCCTTATTCTTTATGACTTAGAATCAATAGCAGTCACAATTATTTTCCTCTTACCATCCTATCACAACTAAATAGATCCAACTACAAAATTGCTTGGAGTTGATTTGGGAAAAGGGGAGATAAAACGGCAATGAATTCACCAGCAGCCTGTTTATACCAAAAGTTGCTTTGAAATTGTCTAGATCAAGGGTGTCAAACTCGATTTCATTGAAGGCTGCATCAGGGTTGTGTTTGACCTCAGGGTGGCGGGAGGGGTGGCCGGGGGGATGGCCAGGGGGGTGGCCAGGGGGGTTGCCAGTATGATGTCACTTGTGTTGGGGGGCGCCTGTGGTGGGCCAAGCACTCTGCCCGTGAAAACAGGTTCCTGAGCTCCATTTACGGTTGGAATGGCCTCCTGCAACCCTCTGCCAGTGAAAACGGAGCTCTCAAGGGCTGCATGGGGTTCCATTTTCACTGGCAGAGGGTATCCAGAGGCTGTCCCAGCTGAAAGTGGAGCCCAGGAGCCTGTTTTTATTGACAGAGGCACCATGGGCTGGTCCTTTGCTATTTTCAGGGCAGCCCTGCAGGCCAGATTTAAGCACCCTCCAGATCCAGCCCCCAGGTCTTGAGTTTGACACCTCTGCTCTAGATCATAGATCAGAATATAGAGAAGGCATCATCTTTTCCCAAAGCAATCCAAAGAATGGACATTTCAGCAACTCATCTGAATACAACATTCTGTAAAGGCAAAAACAGGGGTAGCAATCATTTTTGTTTTAAAGGGAATAGTTAATTGTGACTAGAGAATGCAGGCCTATAAGCTACTTTTGTATATAACTTATTTTAACTTTATACAATAAATATATTTGTTTGCTCAAGGCATAAGCTCATTATTTGCCATGAATGTAAGCAATATAAGAATATTGACTAGGTAATTGTATACCACACAACGAAGCCCCCACCTGAACAGAACACACCTCCAGCCAATCAGAACACGGCCAACCCCCCAACCAATCAGAACACAGCCAAACCCCCAACCAATGAGAACACCCCCCCACCCAATCAGAACACAGCCAAGCCCCCACCCAATCAAGTCACACCCCCACTAGCAGTTAAAAGGAAGAAGCAGCTGCAAGCTCACATTACTCTGAGAAGCACAGAGCCGAAGACACAAGCCTGAAGATGATGAATGAGACTTCATTGAAAGGTTGCCTAGATACTTCCAATTTTACGCGGGAGAAAACCCGAATAACCAAAGATCCACATATATATATAGTCTGACTCACAGATGAACACTATACAGAAGCCTGATGATGGCAGATGAGATTCTGCCAAAACGTTGCTACAACTTTAAAAGCACAACTACAATGATGTGGGAAAATACCCGAACAAAGCTGAATAACATACATACATACATACACATATATATTATTTATATATAAATATATTATTTATATATAAATAATATTATTTATATATAAATATATTATTTATATTTTCCTTAGTTTTACAGATTAACGCCCCTAACCCTATTAGAAACATAACTATCTCACTATTTCTCTTATAAGAGAAACACTTTAATTAAACACTTTCTCTCTGTGAATGTGTATTTGTGTTTGACTTATTTTTAGCTGTGAGGATCTTTGTCCACCTGACAAACATGGGCCACAGTGTGAAGAAAGATGCCCATGCCAGAATGGAGGAGTTTGTCATCATGTAACCGGAGAATGTGCCTGCCCTCCTGGATGGATGGTAGCTATAATTTCTATAAAATTTCATCACTTTTCACTTTGATATTTCATTGGTATATTTTATTTCTAGGTTATATGCAGGAAAAAAGAGAAATTATTCGTTTGAATCTATTACCATTTTGTAGGATTAAATTCTTGGATTAGCTTTCTTTTACAGCATAAACATTCCACCAAATTAACAATCTAAACATTCATGAGAAAACATATAGTATCTAGTATTGCAAAGCTGTTTCTTTTTCTTTTTACATTTCATGTAATCTCATACTACAATCCCATGAATAAATATGAAGTTCTGTTTTCAAACAGGGCACAGTCTGTGGTCAGCCTTGCCCAGAAGGACGTTATGGAAATAATTGTTCCCAAGAATGTCAGTGCCACAATGGAGGGACATGTGATTTAGCCACTGGACAATGTCATTGCAGTTCAGGGTATACAGGAGAATGGTAAGAAGACAATTCTTCAGCTCTCTCGATCGTCATGATTGTGGAAAAAAGAAATTTACAATATTATGCAAAATTGATTGCTGTCCAGTTAAAACTAAGCAAAACCCAAGCTCATTCAATTTTACTTAAGAAACTAATTCAAGTACTATATATAGCTAAGTCATTTTCTTTCATTTATCTTATATTCAAAAACCATTTGCAATTTTTTTGTCTTTTTTTGCTTTGTTTTGGTCATTTCACTCCAATTCATAATATGAAAAAATTAAAAAGCACTGCTCCATTTCATTTTTTTTACTTTTTTATTTTATTGTTCTTTAATCAATGACTGTTTTATGTGAGGACATAAGTCAGGGGTCCCCAAACGTGGTAACTTGAAGACTTGTGGACTTATGCATAGCTGGCTGGAGAATTCTGGGAGTTGAAGTGCACAAATCTTAAAGTTGCCACGTTTGGAGACTTCTGACATAAATCACGTGAAGACTCTCACGACTGTGAGCAAAGTTGTAAACCCATTTTCTTCCACCCATTATTTTTCCAAATATCATCACTGCCATTTTCCTCAGTTCCTATGGGGCACAACAATAGAGCTCTTTCACCCCTATAGATGTTAGGGGCTCGGTGTCTTATTTTTCCCCCATATTTAATCTTCTTGGTATGATAACAACAAATTTTCAGAAGGGAAGAGATGAAAATTTTGTCCCAGAAGTTTTTAAGTGAGCTTTATGCTAGTAAATTAACTTTCTATCCTACTATTTCTTATGTTTATGGGATTTGTGCAGAATAACTTTACATTGATTTTTAAGCTATTGAATTATAAGAACTTTTTGTATTTTATAAAATCTTGCATACTATGTTGTGTTGTTTGAAAGGAATGTGTAGCCAGCTGGCTATAACCCTGGCCTCTTTTTCTAACCTTCAATTATCTCTTCATAATTTATTTTATGTTATAAAGAGCAACATCTAATGGCACACAGATGTCTCGGGTGTTCCTCTTTTAGCTTTCACAGGAAATATCACGTTATCTAGTTTGTCCTACTGGATTTGATTTAGAGATGGACACTTAAGTGAATAAATCCTCACATAATAAATCAAATGGCACTTTGAGGAATAAGCATTTGCTTAAATATCATAGCAAATTTCTGTTTCATGCATCAACATTCTGTTAGATGCTTGGAAGTATAGTGTGTAGAAAATAGACAAAAGGAAAATGTCTTTCACTTGAGCAATCAGGAATTTCCTATTTTATATGAAATTTTAAAAAGCTGTTCTTATATATATTCAGACTATTTTTCTATGTAACTCAATACCTGCCTAGCTCAACGTTAGCAATAGCATTCACTTCATTTTATGTAGAAATGAGATGTTTAGAATTACCTCATTGGTGTCCTTCATAATGGTCAGTCAGGAGGAACAATTTTTGAAAGGAAAACAATAGCAATAGCTCTTAGAGTTATACCTCACTTCATAATGCTTTACAGCCCTCTCTAAGCAGTTTACAGTGTCAGCATATTGTACCCAACAATCTGGTTCCTCATTTTATCATCCTAAATGGATGGAAGACTGAGTCAACCTTGAACCGGTCAGAAACGAACTGCTGGCAATTGGCAGAATTAGCTTCAATACTATATTCTAACCATTTCTTCTTTTTTGTAATATATCTGTAATATTTCTGCTAAGAGGTCCATATGATCCTGCTTAAGACATAAGAGCATGGTTTGCTTTAATTGTTACCTAGAAAACCATAATTAAAAAGCTGACGTGTATTGCATGAAATTGTATGCATGGTTGTGTTTGCATCTGTTATGCAATAATGCTGTTACATGACAAGAATTAAATGGACATTTTAGAATATTTTTTTATAGAAAGTGAAAATATCTTTTTCTTCCTGGTCTTCTCACTAGGTGTCAGGATGAATGTCCAATTGGAACTTTTGGAATACAGTGTGCAGAGATCTGCCAATGCATGAATGGTGGAAAATGCTATCATATTAGCGGAGAATGTCTTTGTGAGCCAGGATATACAGGAGTACACTGTGAAACAAGACTATGTGCTGAAATAGTCTATGGTCTTAAATGCGACAAAAAGTGTCCCTGTCATTTGCCAAATACTCACAGGTACTTCAGATATTTTTGTTATATCTGTGTGAAATCAACTTTTGTTTGCCAATTAGTCTTGGGCAAATTTTTCAGTAGTTTTTATAATGTCACTCAACTTTTTTGGCAAAACACAAATGCAGGCAAATTTATATTGCCACAGCAATAACAATATATCACCATGAATGAGAATATGACAGGAAACATAAGAATGTGAGGAAGGATTTGTTTTTCCAGATATCCTGTTATAGTAGTAGTAATAGTAGCAGTAGTAGTAGTAGTAGTAGTAGTAGTAGTAGTAGTAGTAGTAGTTAAAGTTGTTCACAAGGATTAAAATCTTTGGATTTCTTTCTATAAATGCTAGTGACTAAATTTTTTTCTTGTGTCTTGGGGGAAAAAAATACAATGTTAAGAAAGTGGGTTTCATGTTGATGACCTGCTAATAAAAACAAAAGCCACTGATTATTTGCTTCTCCTGACAGAGCTTTGGAAGCTATTACAGATAGTCCTCCACCCACCACCATGTTGAGCCCAACATTTCCACTGCTAAGCAAGACAGTTGTTTAAGTGAGTTTGCCCCTTTCTTGCCACAGTTGTTGAGTCACTGCAGTTGTTAAGTTAGTAACATGATTGTTAAGTGAATCTTCATTGACTTTGCTTGTCAGAAGGTCGCCAAAGGTGATCATATAACCCTGCAACTGTCATAAATAGAGGACTGTTACCAAATATCTGAATTTTTAATATTTTTATTGGTTTATCAAAATATAGAATACAAAGAAAAATCCAAAAAAATAATAGAAACTAGGAAGGGGGGAAAAGAAAAAAAATGGTGTAAAGAAGGGAAGGGAAAGAAAAAGGCACTGACTTCCAGCTCTCTTAATGTTCTGACCCAAACCTTGTTCCAAGGAAAAAAAACGTGAAACAGAGGTAACAGCAAAATCCTCTAATGATTCTTTACTAATTCCGTTCCTCCAAAGGCTGTTTCAAACTAATTGTCTCTGATAAGAATGAGCCTTGCCAAGGTTGTGCAAGGTTGCCAAGAACACTAGATAAAGTTACTAAGAAATATTTCAAAGAGTCTTCAAACACCAACCAAGATATTCTGAATGTCTACAAGGCTTGAGTTCAAAGAAAAACTTCTTTGCTTCCTGCAAAGAACTCCGTTTTCTCAATTGGCTTTTATCTCTTAAGGAGGGGCCATTACCTTGCAGCCTTACTCCCAAGTTTGATTGTTATGACAACAGTTAAACTAAGTTATTTATTCCTACAGTAAACCATGCATGATTTGCTTAGTTAGAGATCTTTAGTGGTCCATTTAGCAGAGAAATTTCTAAAGAAATGCTTTCTTCATTCTCTGATATCATTGTTCATGAGGAATATATGCTTAAAAATTCCAAGCGCTTGTTATGTTTAGTACTGGAGTTGGAATCCAGCAACTTTTCCATTAACTTGTCTATTTGGTGGTGTGTTCACTCTTTTTCCATTCTTGTCCTTCAACAACATTGTTCAATTAGCAGGACCTGGGTTGAAATGTTTATCAAATGTCCTACAATTAATGTAGACATTAACTTGGAAAATAACTACATTTGTAGTAGACATTTTAAATTGACAAGAATGTATGGCAAACATTATATAGCATTTCTGATATTTCAAGGATTAAGTTGATTCATGTTCAACACAGCTGTTCATTTATACTACTGAAGGAAAGCTTGTGGGCAAGTCAAACTAAAAATGTTCTGATTCAAATAGAAGCACTTATTTTAGAATGTGTTTTTAAATATTTCTTCATTTCTGTAACAAATTGAATGGATTTAGCAGTAATATGAGTGTAGCAGCATTGTATTGTTCATTTTAGAATACAGTGTAAGTGAAAAATTATATATGTATATGCTGTGGGCACAAACAGCAAAAATGTCAGAGTCAATCCAAAAATTAATACTACAGATATATTAAACTTAAAGTTATGATACTCAAATTCTGATTTTTATAATCAAGAAGGCTTTTCTTATACATATCAACAAAGTAAACATATCAATATTAGGTATGAAAGTCTTTCAAAAATCTGGTCAGCATGAGTATATTGTACTTTATTGAACTGTAAACACTAATAGTTGGAATGCCCTGACAGTCTGTACATTTCACATTTCTCTATCAATTGTTGATTAAATATAGATTCACTTTGATCTTCATTTAATCTAATTTCCCAAGATTTATTTTAAAAAGAGTTCTGTATTTATATCATTCTTCAAACCCTATGCAACCTAAGCAGTGCCAGTTAAAGTGACTACACCAAGAACATTCTAGTATTTTAATTTCCTATTTTTAATCATGGATTGCTCGCTCTCTTGCTGTCCCTCTCTCCCGCCCCCCTCTCTCTTTCACGCACACAACAAGAAGAGAAAATGAGATAGAAAACAGTATTCTAAAATGATCTTTCTGTTTCTTTATTGGTTTTATGCTACGATGTTGCCCATGGTTACCAGAGTTAAAATAATTTCCTGAAGTACAATAATTAATTATTATTTATTTCCAAATTACTGTCAGGTGTTACCATGTAATGTCTCATTAATCTAACATAACACAGATGTTTTCCTTATTTTTAAAGCCAAAATTAAAAAAAAATGATTAAGAATAAAAAGCATGATTAGCCCATGTGATCTCTTAAAAGCACTTCCAAGCATAGCCTCCTCTTTTTTTTTTTTCTTACAGAGAGAGAAGATAAAGGGTGACTGAATCAAGCTCCTTAGGAGCCAATTCCCTGTTAAAAGCACCTTTAAGTGCTGGCTCCAGGAAAGAATCCTTCAGAGCACTTCTGCCTGGGAGCAACATAACATTTACCCAAGTGACACATAGGTTTTAGTCCTGGGTCAGTGACATCATCTCTTGTGTTGAAGTGGTGCTTGGGAAATATCTGGCCTTGACCCAGTTGAATTCTTCTGGGTTAGAAAATGACTAAAAAGAGAGAAGAAGCAAAATCCTATCAATGAAGCATTATTGTCTCAACTAGTAGTCAGAATTTGATTAAATTTCTGCCTGGAACCCAAAATACAGTTTGTCAATATGTACTAATTATTAGAGATATAACTTCTCTACAAAATATGAATGAGAGCAACATTCCCCAGCTGAGATTAGATGAAGATTTTGGGAACGGAATTGCTTCATTGGGTTTGCATAATGTATCTAATATTGTATCTAATGTGCCACAAGGCCACAATGACAGTTAAAACAAATGTATTTTGAATAATAACAATAGTAATAAACTATAATTTGCCCTTCTCTTCTAAACCATTTAAACACAGATGAATAAGAGAAACTATACCTTTTTGGTTTTCCATATATTTGTTTGAAAACATGTTTTACACACAAACAGATGTGTTTCTTTCATAAAAAAAAGTGATATCGTGGGGAGAGATTGACTGCAGTTTAATAATAGGGATAAAGAACAGCTCACTGTAAAGAATTACACTGGCCTAATGAGTAAGGGGCATTGAAAAAAGGCATTTAAAAAAACAGAAAAGACACTCTTCTGTCATCGTTCATTTAATATGTCTTGACTGGAGTACATTCCCCCCTTTTAGAATGCCTTAGGGAATATTACTTCAATCAGTGATCAGTCACTGACTTCAATCAGTCATCTTTAAACAGGCTGCCTATTGTAAATATAATTGATCTGGATATTAAGGCTTCCCTTTGGTGAGAGTTAAGCTAAGTGCTTTTCCTGCCAGAGGATCACAGAACTGTCCTTGTGTTTACTGTCTTGGCACGTATATTCTAGCACAGCTGATGGTTCCATTTGTTGCAAAATAACAGCTGTGTGGTTGTGCATTGAATAAAGCTGCTGTTTCAGGTAGGAACAGATGGCCTGACACCAGGTATGGAAGCTAAAATAGCAACATTCTTGAACGCTATAAGAGTGCCCTTGACTTTTCTCCTGTAAAGCAATTTGGCACTGCTTCTAAGTAAAAAAATATAAAACTTGCATACTAAACACCTACTGGAATTTAAATGAAAGCTCATAGGTTCATGCAAGGTCAAATTATGTATCTGTTAAATAAAATTTGGTTTAGATTTTTGACAAAATGAATAAATACTGGGGAATAGTTACAAGGTTGCAGCTAGCATAAAGGGGGTGATTAAACTTAGTTTATTGCAGTGCTGACAAGAATACATTCCTTGAAGCTACTATTTTTTCTTAAGAAATCTATTGTATGGTATAGCCTAACCCTAACCTTTTCATCGTTGCATGCCGAAAGTGTGTGCATGCACGCATGGCTGCACCCATAATGCAATGCACAAGTGACCCCCCCCCCCCCCCCCCCCTCCCCCCATAACCCCCCCATGCTGTGCGCCTCTGGGCATGTGTGTGCAACCCTTGCATGACCCCTATGCCTCTGCACATGCATGCATCCTGCCCCCGCACACTCCACCCCCACACATGCACAGCAGATACCCAACAATCAGCTGGCGGGCAGGAGGCGATGGGTCACATGCTGGCAGAAATGGCTCTGCATGCCACTTCCAGCACACGTGCCATAGGTTCACCGTCATGGATATAGTCAATAAAGGGTTGGTCCAGGGTCAGGAAACCAAGTTTGAAGTCCATCCTTAACTTTGGAATTGTCCTGAGAAACTTCAGGCTAATCACATGCCTCAGTCTAATCTATTTCATGGATTTTTGTTGGGAAAACATGGACAAGAGAGTTCTATAATCGTTGTTGCAAAGAAAGGTGGGATAGAAATACATATATACATTTAACTTAAACACTCATAAAGATAATATAACAATGTATTTCAATAGGGTTTCATTTTTATTATTATTTTAAACAATCAGAATACAAAAATATGCTCCTAATATTCATAGCCTGTTTGGTTTATTTCTACAGTTCTAAGGTAATGAATATTGAATCAGTGAATTTACATTTGATTTTATAGAATATAACTGCAGGTTATATCCTTGACTTACAACAGTTCATTTAGTGACGGTTCAAAGTTACAACGGCACTGAAAACTGTGACTTATGGCCATTTTTCACACTTAAAACTGTTGCAGCAGCCCATGGACACATGATCAAAATTCAGATCCTTGGCAATTGGTTCATATTTATGATGGTTGCAGTGTCCCAGGGTCATGTGATCAGCTTTTGCAATGGGGAAGCCAGATTCACCTAACAAACATATTACTAACTTAACAAATGCAATGATTCACTTAACAACTGTGGCAGGAAAAGTTGTAAAATGGGACAAACTCACTTAACAAATGTTTCACTTAGCTACATAAATTTTGGGCTCAATTTTTTGAGGACTACCTGTACATATTTGGCTAATACCTGTCATATTTCATCCAAAAACTTAATTATAAATGTATTTATAATTATATCTATCTGGTAGATTTTCTCAGCACTGATTTTGTTTTAAAACTTAAAATATGTAGATGCTATTATTATTAGTAGAGTATTAATACTGCAGTAAATTAATATTAGACCACATGGTCCTCTAATTCCACCCACTCCCTGTACCCAAGTGAGGGCATTTTTCTAAATAACTTCTTTGTGTGAAAATCCTTTGTCCATTTTTCTTCATTGGGCTCTTGGTATCATATTCTCTACAAATGCTTTATCCATCCATTCCTTTTTGGTAGCTGCCAACCAATGTCTGGAGAGTGCTTTTGCAAGCCTGGCTGGTCTGGTCTCTCTTGTAATGAAAGCTGTTCCCCAGGATTCTATGGCGAATCTTGTCAACAAATCTGCAGTTGCCGAAATGGTGCTGATTGTGACAGTGTGACTGGAAAATGCATTTGTGCTCCAGGATTTAAGGTAAATAGTTCTGATTGTTATTTCATTGGTTGTCTGCCTTTGAAGATAGAAGCAACTTCTATAGTCCCTATAGGGATTAAGACATTCCATCAGAAAAGGTGCTTCAAAACAGGAGTGCAGTTAAGACATATTTGTTTTAATAAAAGAGAATATATATGGAATTTAGGGTTGAACTGTGGAATTATTGATGTTCTTCGAGCTTTGGTGGTGGTTGCTTGCAGCCATTTCATTACCCAACTAAGTATTATCATTTTGCAGATGTTTCATTACCCAACTAGGGAGCATCATTACACTGATAAAGTTACCTTTTTATTTAAAGATCTAATTAAAACATTTTCCTTAACATTGCATTTTTCTTATCTTTTGTCAAATGCGTTCTAGGGTTCTGATTGTTCTATGCCTTGTCCTGTTGGAACATATGGAATTAACTGTTCATCTATATGTAACTGTAAAAATGAAGCTGTTTGTTCCCCAGTAGATGGTTCTTGTGTCTGCAAATCTGGTAAGTGATCTAATTTACATTTTTGTACTATGAAAGTCATATATATATTTTAAAAAATATATTAAAGACTTTTAAAGAACAAGAATCATAAACTACACTGTGCTGTTACTTCCAGGATTAACTTTCATTTTTTAATTCTGTTCACTCCACTACAGGTTCCTTCCTGTTGATAATTCCAAAACATTTTAAAAAAATGTTCGTCAAGATCCCTGTATGTTTTCCCTGCCTTTTAATCATCTTTATTCCTTATTCTCTTTGGCTACCTATTCTGCAATTAGCTTTCCCTCAATATGGTTTATAGTAGTATTTGTATCATCCTTGCATACATTTTTCTCATGCATAGCACTTATTCTATTTCCATTCTTCCTTTCACGCTTTTCTTTTTCTTTGATGTCCACTTTTTCCTTAACATCCATTCTTGCCAAAATAATCCCACATTTAGAACACCTCATCACTGCAATATACTTCACTAATTTTTTTCAGTCTTTCATAGTAAACATTCAAATCATTCATGTGGTTGATCCATTCCCTATTTTTGTAAATGTATGAATAGATGTAAGCTTAAAGTACATATTTGAAATAAGCAGGCTTTTTTCTAAGCAAATACTAACCAATCAACGCTGTCATTCATTTATGAATGATCCAAGCATTTTTTTCTGTATTCTGCCATTTTATTCCTTTTCATACTTTTACATTCAAGATGTCTAATATAATTTTATTTATTTATTGAATGTATACTGTACAGCCATCCATTCATGGTTCCAGGCATCTCACAAAAAAAGTATAAAAACAGCAATTCTACACTCCAGCCCCAGTGCTTCAGGGAAAAGTTTGATCTTTCTGGAAGACTAACACAGTCAGGACTATCTGGATCTTAAGGGAAACTGCTTGGCAAGCTGGGCAATAAAGAATGCACACTTCACAAAAGAAGAACCCAGAGTATGACCCTTTGATCACAAGCTACACAATTGTTCTCAAACTTATCTCTTTTTTTATTATTGTGAAGTATCACAATTATTACTTGCCTATAGATCCCTACCTACATAATACCAATCTTTACTTTCTGGCATATGTATTATCAAGTTTGTTCATAACTAAACCCATATCTTCACTTTGTGTATATATTAATCAGTGCTCAAGATCAGAATTTTATGCAGAATTATTACATTGTTCCTTTTTTTTTCAGTTGTACATGCACAGACAACATTTCCATTTATTCTTGTATCTTTCATTTTACTCATTATTTCACTCTTTTTACTGCTTACCAAGGTTGTCACCCAAATGGATGCATGGATACTGACCATCATATCTTTGGTCAGTTGAAGCCTTTATATAGTATAACTTTTCTGTTTAGTAAACTAGAGAAATGAAATAAGTTGCAGTTAGTTGCAATCTTATGCATGCCACCTGCAGAATTCTCTGTTAATTATTAGGATAATAGCATTCATTGTTGGTGTATTTTGACTGCACTGGTGCAATCCAAATAAAGACCAGTTTTACCTAAAAGACGTTGATACTACATTAGGTCAATATACGATTGCTGCATTCCACCAAGTAGGAGGAATATGCAGTATAGCACCATACACTCAGGATTCCTGGTGGACGCATTTAATTCAATTTGGCAATTCCTTTAGGTTTTCAGTTCAAGGTTCAGTTTGAAGATGTGATTCTGTTGATTGGAACTTCGTTCAGCTGTACAAATTATCAGAGCCCATTTCCAAAGAATTAAGAAAGAATGAAAAGAAAACAAATAATTCCTTCCATCATTTGTATTCTATCCACTTTCAAAAGTATAACTGCCTTTATTCTTCTAAAAACATTTGTATTTTTAGTTTTAGCTGTTTCTTTGACTTTGATTGCTCATCAACGACAATATTTTTACAACTCCTCACTTCAAATTGCTTAATGACATTTGTAGATCTAAATACTTTGTATCAGTAACTGCATCTTGTGAGGTCAGCTGCAATATATGTAGTGAGTTGCAGCTCACAAAAGCTTATGTCTTTTAATAACCATGGCTAGGTGGAAAAGATGCTGCTTGAGTCCTCATTTTTTTGCTGCCATAGACTAACACAGTCATCCTCCTATGATTCTGGCAAGTGAATGATGTATTTAAAAATAGCTTCCTATTCAAAACCTGAAAAAGGTGCTTATCAGCTCTCAGTTGTTCTTATCAAGTAAGATCTTAGAACTCTATACTGAACAGAGGCATTTTCTTTTTACTGTGTCAGGTTGGCACGGAGTGGACTGCTCTATAAATTGTCCTAGTGGGACATGGGGCCTTGGCTGTAATTTAACATGTCAGTGCCTTAATGGAGGAGCATGCAACATTCTGGATGGAACCTGCACCTGTGCTCCAGGTTGGAGAGGAGAAAAATGTGAATACCCCTGCCAGGTAATAAAGCTGACTCCATTGAAAGCTTGATTTGTCATTATAATATAATGCCTTGATAAATGTGTTGAATATTACAATATTATAAGCTGTATTTTTAAATAAAATATGTCCATATTATCAGAGGTATTGCAGCATGTAAACTAGCAGTTCACTGTATAACCCAGAGGTCTCCAAACTTGGCAACTTTAAGACTTGTGGATTTCAACTCCCAGAATTCTGGAAGTTGAAGTCAGAAGTCTTAAAGTTGCCAAATTTGGGGACTCCTGGTATAACCCATTAACTATGGCACAAGGATGTTATCCTTTTGGGGATAAATCTTCAGGACATGGCCTTTGATTCATCCTTAGTCTATCATCATATTGACACTTTAAATTTGTTCTTTGATGTTCCAGTTTGAAGTAATTTTTACACGTCTTCCTATACTCATCTTGAAGTATAAACAATGTAGAATACCTCATTCATGAGCTTGGGAATGAAGGAAGGAAAGGAAGAAATATGTTTCATTCACAAATCAACTCTCTTATTATGTCAATAATGTAAGGCTTCCATGTTGACTGCACTAAAATAAGTTTAACTTCATTTCATTTTCTTCCTGGCAGGATGGCATGTATGGCCTGGATTGTTCAGAGCGCTGTGACTGCAGTCATGCAGATGGATGTCATCCAGTAACAGGTTATTGTCGCTGCCTTCCAGGATGGTCAGGTAAATTTGAAATTGTAACAATACAAGCGTGCCATACAAATTTTGATTCTTCTTAGCACTCTTGGGTAAATTAATACATAGTATTTTGATCAATATATGAAAGTTTTAGAATAGATTCTATTTTAATCACGAGTCCAAATATATGTGGTACAATTTATATTAATTACATAAACCTTTCTCAGAAAATGAACATCTGGAGACAGAGTAATTCTCTGAAATGGAATAATATTATCTAGGTAATTGTAGGCCTTTAACCTATCATGACAGAATCCCATTGATTCTGTGCCATCAAGTTGCTTTCAACTCCTAGCTTTCAAAACCTAAATTCACACTGAACTTTATCACAACTACAACTCTGATGCTAGCAAAAAAAATAATAATATCAGCATTATATCTACAAAGTTAATCTTGGCAACTGTTCTGTAATCTGGCAGTAACCAATAGAGCTGTTTCTGAAAATATGCTTTCCATTTACTGGGTCTTTTAATTAATGTGAAAGTGACATTTCATTATTTTGTTCACATGAATAGATTTTTTTTTTGCTTTCTCTTTTCTAATTTTATAAAAAAAAATCTTCTTACTGTGTTCTAAATGTCTCACAAATGACAAATCTGGGATATAGCTATTTTAAAGCCCATCTTCATCTTTCATAGTTCACCTTCACACATGCCAGAATAACTGTTGTGTTTGACTATAGCGCTATTTGTCTTTGGGCAAAAGTGTTTTTGAAACACGCAATACCAGCAAAGCTATCTTGTTTGTATCATGTTATGTATCTAGATGTTACTGACATATTTCTTTTTTTCAATATTTCAGTCCAAGTAGGCTGAAATATATTTATTTACTTGGAACATATACTGTTCTTAAGAAATAAAATAAAAACACCACTAAAATCAACTGTTCACAATTAAAGATAGCAGAGGATAAAAATGTATAAAGATGTATTAGTAGGATATTTTACATTTTATTACAATACAATCTGTTAATTCAATAGTAGGCCAAAAACGATTTGTAATACTTGTTGTCCATGACAGATATATTTAGATTTTATTCAGTGTGCATAACTAAGCAAACTGACCTTGATTCCATTTTCTTAGGATAATGAGAAATTTTGATCAATCCTTTGGATTACAAGCGTCTTTGAATTTGGAATGCAACTCTAAGATTTAAAAAAAATATCAAGAGGCATTTAAAACTTATGCTGTATTACAATTGATTTATTGTCAATTTTTGTTCCTTTATGATTAGAGGTATTGAACCAAACCAGACACTTAAATTAACAAATTTAAAATTAATTCCTCAGTAAACTCTTAATTCATTCTTGCCAGCTATATTTTGGTAAACAGAACAATGAAAGCATTCTTACAATTGTCAGATTCAATCTTCATTAACATGTTAAGTTTTATTACCTACAAGCTTATCCTTGTTCAAACATGGATGACTTTCTTTTTCTTGAACACTAACATTTATAATATTTTTTAAATTCTGTTATTCAAGATGTTATTACTATTCTCTTATAAATATCTGAAATATTCCCCCCCAACCTTTGGTTTCTTCAGTTTAATCCCAACCTATTGTGTTTTCTTTCAATCCCATTCATTCTTGACTCTTGACGGATATATCTTTTCTTTTATGTACACTGAGAGCATATGCACCAAGACAAATTCCTTGTGTGTCCAATCACACTTGGCCAATAAAGAATTCTATTCTATGATTCTATTCTATTCTATTCTATTCTACTGAAGACTGTCTATTTTAAACTGTCTATTTAGCCTTCTTCATCCATTCCCCAATTTTTTTATTTCATTTCATTAATGAATTCATGATCTTTATTATTTATTCCTCTTATATTCCATTCAATATTCTATTATCACAGTTCTTAGTATTCTATTAATATTCTATTAAGAATGGTTTGTAGATATTGGCTTCTATCATCAACTATAGCTTTGTTCAATCAAGATATTTACATAATTCTTTTAGTGATATAGTTAAACTGATGGCTAGGTTTTCAGTCTTAGTCATACCATGCTAGATGTAGAAATCCCTGCTAAGAGTAGGGTCGATTTTGCCATAAATTCAATCAAAATCTAATTATAATATAGTATAGATGAATAGGACATGATGGAAGTTTCAATATTTCGATGTAACAGCTCCAATCCTAATCTTTAGTTTTTTTTTTTCTTTGCTGGGATCAAAAATCCTGGGTAGGGATGTGTCAATATGTCAGATTTTCTTTTTTCTAATTTTAAAATTACTACCATGTTTCTCCAATAATATGGTCTCCACCAATAGGAAGGCCCAGCATGATTTCTAGGCATGAGGTAAAATTAAGCCCCACCCCCAAAATTTAGGCCTATTTAAACCATGCGTTTCCCCGCCATTTCTCACATAGTTCGAACTATACGAGGTGAAGAGAAATGGGGGGAAGGGTGGGGGGGTGGGGAGAAAACTTGCCTTTAGGAGTGCCCTGCAAGTAGCCTAGGCTAGAATACTCTGATAGCTGATAGAAGCTCCCCGAAGACAGAGTCCCCAGCCATTTCATGGCATGGCGTGGCTGCCCGTGTCCCCTCACCTTTAGGCAGTCTCTTTCGGGCAATGGAAGCTCCCCAAGTGCAGTCACCAGCCACTTCAATTGGCCAGTACAAACGGCCTTGGGGCGAGCGCACACACACACACACTCCCCTCACCCTGAGGCCACTTCTATCGGTCGATGAAAGCTCCCCAAAGGCAGAGTCCCCAGCCGCTTCAGGGCTTGGCGTGGCTGCCTGTGTCCCCTCACCTTTAGGCAGTCTCTTTTGGGCGATGGAAGCTCCCCAAGTGCAGTCACCAGCCACATTGATCGGCCAGTAGAAGCGGCCTCAGGGCGAGCACACACACATACTCCCCTCACCGCGAGGCCGCTTCTATCGGCTGACGAAAGCTCCCTGAAAGCAGAGTCCCCAGCCTCTCCAGGGCGTGGCATGGACGATGAAAGCTCCCGGCCGATCGAAGTGGCTGGTGACTGCACTTGGGGAGCTTTCATCGCCCAAAAGACACTGCCTAATGGTGAGAGGACACGGGCAGCCATGCCTCACCCTGAAGCAGCTGGGGACTCTGCCTTCGGGGAGCTTTTGTCGGCCAATAGAAGCAGCCTTGCAGCGAGGGAAGTGTGTGTGTGCGCTCGCCTCGAGGCTGCTTCTACCGGCCGATTGAAGTGGCTGGTGACTGCACTTGGGGAGCTTCCATTGCCCAAAAGAGACTGCCTAATGGTGAGGGGACACGAGCAGCCATGCCAAGCCCCAAAGCAGCTGGGGACTCTGCCTTCGGGGAGCTTTCGTTGGCTGATAGAAGCGACCTCATGGCAATTATGGGCCGCTCTAGGTGGGGGAGGAAATTAAGTCACCCCCAAAAAGACGGCCTAGCCGTTTTGGGGGGGGTGTCAAAAAAAAATAAGCCTTATTTTGTGAGAAACACGGTATTGCTTTTGACAGAGCAATTATTTCTACAGTTTGCTTTAGAAAAACAGATATTTGTCTATTGTTTTAGTGTAGAATATGTTTGGTCCAAGGAAGTGTAGACAGATGCCACATTTGCAATCCTGCATGCCGCAAAGCATATTTTTGGCTTTGAATCCAAAGTATTGCACAATCCCAGTATTTATTGCTTGTGAAGAGGGCCTTCCTTTGACTTGTTTGTATCTTTGAAACATGAGCAAATATATAAAATATCATTTAATATGCACTCCAGCAGCTGCCAGCATGGATCATTTACTAGATCCCAACTACATAGTATAGAAATTAGGTTTTCCACATGTCAATGTTACCACAGTGTTCCATAGTACTATTATTGTTAAAATATATGAAATATATAAAAAAGTTTTTTCTATATAGACTATATGTAGACTACAAATTTTATAGCAGAATAGATAATATTATCCAAGTAATCATTCCTTTCATTCACACCATTGTATGTGCTACAGGAATGCTAATTTAGAAGTGAAGCTTTTGGCATAGTTCTCCGAGTTTGAGGATTTCTTCAGAGTTCCTTAGCTGAAGTTTATCACGACCATTTTGCTATTGCCTAGCAACTTGCAAAGGCCATTAAAGAGGTCTTTGTCCATTCTCCTGGCAAAACATTTCCTGACTGATCTGTTCATCGAGAATGAAATTAATGGACTTATTTGCTAATAATTCTTTTGTTTTGGAAAATGCATTTTAAATATTCATTTAATATTACACTAAAAAAGCATCTGTGTAATTTTTAGTGTAAAAGCTTCCTATGCCAAGTATTCAGGTGGTCATCTAGGGGCTGAAATATCTAAATATTAAGGCAGAGTTGCTTGCTGACATGTGGCCTTCAAAACAAGAATGTGTACAAATATGTTCCTTTTCCTGTTTGTGTTCCTAATTGTTTTAGCAGTGTTTAGTTAAATACATGAATTAATAAAAACATATGTAAGAACATAATTCATCTGGGAAATAATGGCTCTGCATGTGGACAAAAATAATACATTTTCATTACCAGTCAGATATATAGTCGTATTATATTAAGAACAGCTTAACATGTAAGATTGCACTGAACGTCTTCTCTACTTGAACTATAAGGATGATCAGATAGGTTTTTATATCCATTTATGCAATCTTGTGATTTCTAGCCACATGAGATTTTTATTGAAAAGAAATCAAATTAAAAACAAACTGATTTGTTTATAACAATTCAGTGTTAATGTTAACACAGTTCAGATTTCAGGCAAAATAAAAATAGATGTTCCCAATGTCCTTCTTGCACAGAAGGAGAAAAGAAGAACATAAACATTTGAAGCTATCTGTAGATGATATTTATTTTGCTAAACAATAATTTGGGATTACAAACAAGTTGTAATCATAAATATTATTTCAATTTATATTCTCTATTTCCACAGATTATTAAACTAGCAAATAATATATTTATGATAGATTCATATCATATTATGTATTAAACAAAAATAAATTATTTAATTTATTTAAATAATAAATTTAATTTCTGTTAAATTATTTAACAAAGTCCTATCTGTCTACTCAAAAATAAATTTTGTTAAGTTTAATAGTCATTTTTGGGAGGAGATGGGTAAAAGAGAATATTTATATTGGATGAAATATATTGAATGAAAAAATAAAAAGCGAGAAAACAATTTCTAAAATAAATCTTTTTTTGTCCTTATTTGGTCTCAGTAGCAAAATATTCTCTTAAATTGCTTATTTCAAACTCATGTATATTAATTTCTACATTCAAGTTTAATATTTTTAAAATGTACCAGCATAGTCAAAATTTTAAGGTGTGATGTTTGCAGAGCTTTCAGTGGATCTAATGATACCCAGCATAGATGCAACAAGGAATTTAATTTGTTTGCAAATATAGGTGGCTGAATTTAAAATTCCAGTAAAAAATGTCTGTTCTAAGCTATTGAAAAATAAGTTGTGACTTGATTCTGAAAACTGAGCTATCTAGACAAGAATCAGCTTGCAAGAGGTTGATGGTACAACTTCTTTCATGTCTTGACAGTCAATTCAAAGTCCATTCAAATTTTCATTCAATCAGGAAAAATAGCCCCTTTATACTTGTTCAGTATCCTGTATAAAATTAGTTTCTGAGTTCTTGTCAAATTTCAATGTGATGCATTTTCCACTACAGTTATTTCTGTCATTATTTCTCTAGCAAATTTGATAAAAAGACCCAGGTCATAATCGGTTTAACCTACATTCCCCTTTATTCTAACCAAGAAAGATATTTTCCAAACAGGATTCTGTCCCCAACCCCCATAAGAATTAATATATGGATTACTATAAGGAGAATTTTTTTCCTTAATTTTACTCTACTAATAAAAAACGAAAGGAAAGAGAATAAAATAAAAAATATTTTTTTAAAAATACCTTTCAAGTACAGATGTAAATTAGCAAGATAGCAAGATAACTCCAGACATAATATACAATATATGATTTTTATAAAAAGAAAAAAAGTTTAGTTTTCCCAAACACATCAAATGATGTTATCAACTTATTAACTGTAAAAGAAAGAGAAACTATAGTTCCATTGACTTGTTTTGCATAATCAAATGAACTTTTATTTGTTTAGATATTATGTATCCCCGGTGTATATATTTTTAAATAAACAAACAACATTTAAAATTATTTCATATTTGCCCTTCTAATAGATTAAACTGGGATATTTAAGCTATTGAAAAGATAATATATTCACAATATATTGCAATTATATAATGCTTTAAGGCAGGGGTGTCAAACTGGATTTCTTTGAGAGCCAAATCAGCATTGTAGTTCTGTGCAGGCCTGCAGGGGGAGGCAGGATGGATGCTTCCTGCAGCACTCTGCCAGCCAAAATGGGGTGTGAGGGGGTCCATGCGTGGCCCCCCTGTACCCTGTTTTCACTCTCCATGGCCTCCTGCAGCACTGTGCCAGCTGTTTTAGGACCCGTTATTGCTCCATTTTTTGTTCATTTTCAGCACATTTTCAGCCTGTTTTTCAGCCAGCAGAGTGCTGCAGGAGGCCATGGAGGGTGAAAATGAGGTGAGGGGGCCGCACGTAGCCTGTTTTAGCTGCCAAGTGCACCATAGGTTGGTCCTTTGATAGTTCCAGGCCAGCCCTGTGGGCTGGATTTAAGCACCCCATGGGCCGGATCTAGCCTGCAAGCCTTGAGTTTGACACCCCTGCTTTAGGGCAACATATTCATAAATTGCATATACAAGCAATTTCACTTATTTTTGAAAGTAAGTTGTCTGGGTCTGAAACCCAATTGATTCCATCATTGGCATCAACTGAATAGTACATCACTATCTATTTTGGTCACCCAATAATTTTGGTTTCTTATTTCTTATCACAATTCTCCCGATTTTTCCCTACTTTGAGCTCATTCATTCCCTGTTTTAATAAGAAGCTTTGTTTAATCACAGGGACCCAAAAATTACTTCTTGTGGCTTCAAATATAGTAAATACTCAGATATATGTAAATAATCTCTGCATCAGTGCTCCTTTTGGGTCAGATGAGCAGACGTCTTCTTGGTAATATGTACTTGAGTTATACTTTGCTTTGCAATTTGCTAGCTTCCCCTTAGATAGAAAGAAATAGTCATATAGGGCATAGAGTCTAGCATAGTGGTGGCAAACCTTTTTGGCAGTGAGTGCTGAAACGGGAGCATGCATGCGCACACTGGAAACCAGAAGAGCAGCTACCTGGTGCGCTGCGCGGGAGTGCTGGAAACTGGAAGCTCTCAGCTTCCCGATCCACATATGCATGCCACCCACCTGATCTTCTGGTTTCTAACATGCATGCATGCACGCACAAAGACCAGCTGGCCAGCACGTGCATGCGCACTGGGGAGCTGCTCTTCCAGTTTGCAGCATTCCTGCACATGCGAAGACCAGCTAGCTGGCACACATGCGCGTGCCAGAACCCAGAAGAGCAACAGGCGACGGCTGGTGTGCCCAGAGATATGCATGTCACTTCCGGCACACTTGCCATAGGTTCGCCATCATGGGTATAGCAATCACTTGATATGTAAGTAGGTGTACAGAAGCCATGGAAATCATGCTGAAACTCCAGATTTATATTATGCTTCATTCACTATTTTATTTCTGATAGTTTTGTTGATCTTCTAGTATTATTATTGATAACTGTACATATTTATTGTTTGCAGGTATACATTGTGACAGTGTATGTGCTGAAGGACTTTGGGGTCCAAACTGTTCATTGTCCTGTTACTGTAAAAATGGAGCATCATGTTCTCCAGATGAAGGAATCTGTGAGTGTGCACCCGGATACAGGGGTGATACTTGTCAAAGAAGTAAGTTTCCTGTTCCCAGTTTATTAAGATTATAATACTAACATGTAAACAAATTATTTTCTGATAGAACAACATTTCTACAAAATTATATGCTGAGATAGTAATTTAACTACTTTTTCAAATGGAAATATATCATGTAAATAATCCAATCTTAAAAAGGACTATAGTTACGTATTTACGCGCACACACACACACACACACACACACACCTGGATGAAGTGCATTAATTGCCTTCTGTTCAATTAAATAATTTATTCAGAATGGTACAATACCCACATGAAAGCTGATGGAAAAATGTGTTTTATTTGGTAGCTTCTAGACAATTCTAAAAATGTAAAAACAAAAGTTAGCCTTGTAAATGTTAATTGCTGTTTAATAACTTGAAACATTTGTTAATATATTGATTGGTCCTTTAAAGGAATGCAAGAATATTAGAGTTATAAAGAAATAAATTCTACACAACAATTTATTTCTTCCTCAGTCAATCCAAATGGGGACACGTGTCTTTTTGAAGAAAGGACTGGTGTATTGGCATAAGAGTGAATAGGATTTTTTTTTCTTTAAATCATGAATTGGACAAAAGCAAACAGCAGTGTGCAGCTGTCTGCACTTGCTCTTGTACCGAGAAAAATATTTAAACTACCCAATTGTAATGACAATTATGACAAGGAAACATTTAATTATGAGCATAATGGTTTGATATACAGTGTCACTATAATAAAAATAACAGCAATTTTAGATAAAATTCATAATGTGTCAAGCTGTCTTTGAATCTCAAATAGTTACTATCTTGAAGGAAAATCACTGGAAGTTGAAAACAAATCCTGAAAGAAGCAATAATATATTATTTTCATAATGTTGCCAAGGAAACAAAACATTTGTCCATAAAGTCAGTGGTGACTCAACTGGATGAGGAGATCAGCTTGATTTGAAGATTTAATACTTGAAACTGTATGAAACAAATCTGCATACATTAGAACTTTTCCGGTGTTTCCAAATCTCTCCAAATGAATCCAGCTCAATTCTTTTGGATTAGATAAGTATGTGTGGATGGTGAATATGATAGCATCTTTCTTCTTTCAGTTTGTTCTCCTGGATTTTATGGTCATCGATGTAACCAGGCGTGCCCCCAGTGCGTTCACAGCAGTGGCCCATGCCATCATGTAACAGGGCTATGTGACTGTTTACCTGGTTTTACTGGAGCTCTCTGTAATGAAGGTAGGATCACCAAATGATGCCAACAACTGTTTGAGGTTTTGTCCTTATTTGCTAGGCTTGAACAAATCATTGTATGAGTTGTTGTACTAAGCAGCATAGCCTCTTTCAGTAAATGATACATATAGGCCTATTAGTGAACTGCACCTCATAAAAACTGATGCCTTTGTTAATCAGAAAAAATGCTCCCAGATCCTCTTACATTTTGGTTACCTTGGGCTAACAAAAAAAAACAAAACAAAAAGTCATGGAAATAGTTCCCTATATATGATATTTTTACTTACTGAAATAAGATTATTGAGTAGTAAATGAGAACAAGGACTAAAAAGAAGAGGCATGGTGAATACACTACACAGAAAACAGCAAGGAAAAAGGTATAAATGGAAGACAGATAAAATAGTGAGTCCTGGATAATGAGAGAATGTAAGAAGTCTCAAAAATAAAGGGAAAGAATGGGATGGGAAAAACAAAGGTTATAGAAAAAAAATGATAGTTACTGATATCTGACTATTAGTATAAAAGCATCTAAAAAATAAAAAGTAGCAATAGCAACAATGATAGCGCATAGACCAGGCTATTAAACTCTCAACCCACGGGGTGGATGTCACACGCTAGCCACGCCCACACCCAGTTTAGCGAAGGGGGAAAAAGTCATGATACATCATGTGCTGATGTGAGTTTGATACCCCTGACTTACATTTATATACCAGCCCATAGTGCTTTAGAGCACTCTCTGGGTGGTTTTTAATGTCAGCATTTTGCCCCAACAATCTGGCTTCTCATTTTACCAACCTCAGAAAGATGGGAGGCTGAGTGAACCTTGAGCCTGTCAGAATCAAAATCCGGGCTGTGGGCAAAGTTAGTCCACAATGCTCCATTCAGTGCTGCACCAGCAAGGCAGAAGTATAAAAATATAAGTATTCATGACCTGTGTAATTTATTTCTATAGTTTGTCCAAGTGGAAGATTTGGAAAGAACTGTGCAGGCGTTTGCACATGCACAAATAATGGAACTTGTAATCCAATTGACAAGTCTTGTCAATGTTATCCTGGCTGGATTGGTAGTGATTGCTCCCAGCGTAAGTACTAGCATTTCCTTCTTTGGGAAGTTCCTGCATTTTCATTAGAGTTTAGTTCATTGAAACATTTTTAACCAAATACAGTGATTAAAGCAGCATGGCTTATTTATCTCAATACATTTGCATTTCTAATAGTGCATGAAATATATGCCATATGCATTTTCCACGTTTGAAAAATTCAAACTTTACAACATAGCCACTGATATAAACTCTATAAATAATGCAATAGCTCTTAAATATTTGCTGTACAAATAAATAAAATCATTCCTGTATTTTATTATGGAACCATCCTTGATAAGTGTATAAAGACAAGCACAGCTGTAACAGACTAAAAGAGTGTGCCGCCTCCCCACATGCCTAGTGTTTTGGAGAGAAGTCAAGTTTCTCAAAGATACAAACTCTTTCCTATATGTAGACTCACATGTTTTCTGGAAAATTATGTACCTTTGTGTGTTCTCCACCTACTGCCAGCTGCTAACTAATAAGTAAAACTCAGATAAAGATCAGAACGGCCGGAGAACAAAATGGTTGCCCATTAGAGCAGGGGTCTCCAACGTTGGCAACTTGAAGACTTGTGGACTTCAATTCCCAGAATTCCTCAGCCAGCAAAGCTGACTGATCTTAAAGTTGCCAAGGTTAGAGACCCCTGCATTAGAGTACTGTACAGTTGACTGGCTGATGGTACTAGAGTTTGGGCTATAATGAAGAAGGAGCTAACATACTGAGCTTTGCACACATCATTTCATCTAAAGAAAATTTAAGGCTTAATCTAATGAAAGCACAGCATGGCATGGCTAAAAGGAGAACTGAGTCATCAGGGGCCAGTAAAAAGAAACTGTAAGTAGAGAGCAAAACTAGGGAGTCCACAATCTGAAATAAATGAAGCTTAGTTCTAAGTGACTGTCTCCCAAGTGACTGCCTCCTCAAGAGAGAAATAGATACAACTAGCAGGGTAAGAAAACACTGTGTAGAGACTGAAAATGAAAACAATTTAGAAAGGTGGGAAAACAGACAAATGTTTCAGAAGAATTTCCTCCCCAGTGTATACAGTAATTGCCATCATATTGTTGCCAATGTTTTTGACAACTAGAATCCCTTCATTTAAAGAGGTTTTTTTTGGGGGGGAGGGGGGGATCAGATACTTTTGGTGATGAAATGTTTCTGAGAGGAGTTGGCTGACAAAATTAGTGGCCATAGAAGAACTAGACTAGTATAGAAACCATATACTTAAGGCAAATACCCTGTTTTCCTGAAAATATGACCTACCCTGAAAGTAAGTCCTAGCTTGATTTTTACATGTGTGCCCAATATAAGCCCTACACCAAAATAATCCCTAATTAAGATCTCGCCCAATCCAGAGTGCACGGGTAAACATTAAGCTAGGGTGGGGATCGGTGGTAGTGGAGTTGCCCTACTACTTACCTTTGGTCAGTTGTAGCCGGGCCTCGCACACCCCGACACCTGCCTTGCCAGCCCATTTCTTCCGCAGCCGACAAGGTTGGCAAGGCTTTCCTGAAAGCCTCTATAGCTGATAACAAAGCTCCGGATAGATCCAGAGCTCTGTAATCTGCTGCAGAGACCTTTAGGAAAGTTTTGCCAGCCACAGAAGAAGTTCCTGAAGGCCTCTGACAGTGAAAAGGAGGCCAGGGGTGATGCACGCAAGTGAGATTAGTCAGTGGATGACATCCCCTGAAAATAAGACCTGGTGCCTTTTTGGTGGCAAAAAAATATAAGACAGGGTGTTATTTTCAGGAAATACTGTAGTACAGAAGTGGGGGAGAACTATTGTTCCCTTCCAACAATATCTTTCACCGATAATGGGTTTATTTAGTGATATTCTTTATACTCTTCTGTCCTCTATTAGCAAAAATAATTGGAAGGCTTAGAAGAAATGTTCACAGGTTACTTCCTATCTCATTGACTAATTGTAGACATTACCTCATTTCTTATGTATGCATATGAAGTTGGGGGAATTGGAGGACTTTTTAAGAGAATTGGGAAATTTTGGGAGAAGTGTTTGCTTGCTGGGCCACTGCTACTCTTCAAGGGCTGGACAGACCGAGGCAAAAAGAAATGTCACAATCTTTGCAACAGAAATGAGAGGGTGGCAGAGGCTCATGTTCAAAGTGTCCAGTGGTTAGTACAACTGAATGAATCTTCTAGACCTATCAGATATGTTCTGCACATGGTGCTCAGTGCTAATAGAATGGATGAATGGAAAGGGCTGAATGGGGTGGAGAGATTTGAAATTAGATTAGATTCCAGGAATATGGTAGTAGAGGCATTGGAAAAGTTAGTTAAAAGAACAGGACTTAATAGTGTTGCATCCCCTTTCTTCCAAGTCAGTTGTTTCTCACCTGGGTTCAGTTTCTGGACTGTTGCCAACTTGGTCTCCAGCTACTGTTGGTAAATGATAATGGTTCTTGTTTCCTTGCCAATGAGCAACTGATAAATTGGTGAAAAGAAATAAATGTGCCAATTGAAGGAAAGGAGATATATGTTAAGCCTGACTTTTAAATCAGAAAAATCCATTTTATGTTATTCCCATGAAAGGAATAATATTTAAAGGGAGAAGTATCCCCATTACTTTAAAAAGCCTTTGTAATTATCTTTATAAAATTCTGATTTTTTAAAAAATGTATGACTTGGCAATTCTCACTCATCTTAGACTTCTCCACAAGAAATTGTTCACTATAGAGCAGTGGTCACCAATGTTTTGGACCCCAGGGACCACCAAACTTATAATTTTAAATCCTGGGGACCACTAATATGAATTTTGACTGACGGTGGCTTGCTGATGTTGGTAGGAGAGAGAGAGAGAGAGAGATCTGATCTAAACTCTCTCTCTCCCTCTCTCTCCCTCTCTCTCCCTCCCTCTCTCTCTCTCTCATAAACACACACACACACACACACAAACACACAGAGGCAGGGGTGGGATTCAAATTTCTTAACAACCGGTTCTTGGGAGTGGCCTAATTTGTGGGTGTGGCTTGGTGGTCATGTGACTGGCTGGGCATGGCTTGTATGTAAATATTATAAATATTTATGTAAATATTGTATTTTTTATTTTAAAAGGAGCAACTTTTACCAAAATCAGGCAAAGCAGGCAGGCAGATTGAGTTGCTCACAGAATCACAGATTCACTTAGTGATCTGTGTTTCTGCCATTGGCTATTTGAGTTTGCACTGAATAATAGAACCTTCAGTCCTAAGGGAGGTTTGGCTCTAGTTAAAGGCAGAGCCAAAGATCTAAACATTAGCTACAAAGCAAGAAATCCAATGATTTCCTGCTTTCTAGCTGATCTCAATCTCCCAGCACAGCAGAACAGCTGATGGTCGGAGGGAAAAAAAAGGAAAAATAGCAACTTAGCAGGCAAGTTTACCAGGTAAGGAGTGAGTGGACAGGGAGGGTTCCCACAGGCCATGTGGGTGGGGCAGACTTGTGTTCCTACACAGCCTGGATTAATTGCTTTGGGGGGTGCTCTGGGGGTGACATTTCTCTATGGACCACCAAAATTTTCTCACGGTCCACCGGTGGGCCACAGCCCACCAGTTGGCAACCACTGTTATAGAGGGCATAAAAAAAACCAAGTAAACCCAAATTTTTATAGTCTCTTTGTGTTCTTGGATAAATTGGGTAATTTTGCTATGCCCATTCTCTCAGACAAAGCTCATATTTATTCTGCATATTTTTGTATTGTAATAAGGCTAATTGTTTTGTTTTGTTTCAGCTTGTCCTCCTTCTCATTGGGGCCCAAACTGTATTCATACATGCAATTGCCACAATGGCGCTCACTGTAGTGCTTACGATGGAGAGTGTAAATGTACATCAGGATGGACTGGTCTCTATTGCACACAAAGTGAGTTAAACATATTTATTTTGCATTTCAGAAACAGTAACACCAAAATTAAAAATTAGAGGAGCTCCTGCTGGTTGACAAAATAATCTATCTGCTTCCTGTTTTTTTTTTAGAAATGTTTAATGCCTTCAAGTAATATTATTCATAAGTCAGAAAGTGAGATATGGTATTGTATAGGATATAAACCAGAATGAGAAACTAGAATTTCAACAGTTTCTTGCCAACTCAAATGCTTTAAGAGTCACAATTGATTTGAATGAGTGGATTGCATAGAAGTATGAAGAAAGTGAGGTTGCTTTTAAGAATCACAGGAAGGTCTGCAGCCATACTTTTAGATGTTCACCTAACTTTTTTTTTCAGAATTATTTATAAACAAAGTGTGGCCCTCCTACTATTTTTACTAGTAGTGGCAATTAGTTCTGAAACAATTCTTGATTTGGAAGGATGGGGAGGGGGCATGGCTTCTGAATACTCATCTCCTACAGTTATAATAATGATACAACATTTACATCACACCAGAATTACATTATTTTTGGAAGAAATATATAGTGTTACTCTGGAATCATTACTATTCAAGCTTTTGTTCTTTTCTGTTCTGACGTTATATTGTTGTTTCATAACTCTGGATTCTCTGGAAAATATGCAAAATAGTTTTCTCTCTTGAAAATCTATTGGATTTCATTCAAAGTAATGAAGTAGTGAGATTTAGAACAAGCCTATAAACTTATTTAGAATTATACCTACTAAGATCCTTCCTAAGGAAGTTCAGGAATTGTTATTAGAGAAGTACTATTGCAATTATAAACACTTTTGAAAATTATAATGTTTTATCTTTTCTATGGGTTATGGATTGTGTATCTTTTTTGGACATAGATTATTTGCTTCAGAGTGGCAGTTATTGAGCATACACTGCTTGATTTTATTTTCTTACTTTCTTCTTCAAGGATGTCCTCTGGGCTTTTTTGGGAAAGATTGTGCTTCAATCTGCCAGTGTGAGAATGGAGCTGACTGTGATCACATCTCAGGCCAATGTACATGTCGCACAGGATTCATGGGAAAATATTGCGAACAGAGTGAGTTGGGAACTTTTCTTACACATTGTTAAGAGATGATGTATGTAGAATTAAAATTTACTAAGCTCTTTTTTTCTTATTCAGACTAGGTTGACTAAAATTTCACACAGATACCTAAATGGATAAGACAAAGACAATGATTCTTAATACATTATGAACTGTATTATACACATCGTGATTTCAGTCCAAAGTGAGGTTATTGAAAGTTTGATCTTAAGTCATGATTTTCATTGAATTTGGTGGGATTAAGAGTACATAGTTAGCTCCTGAAAATGCAATTTTAAGCAAAGTCACTGGCATCTACATTCCGTTGAAATCAATAGAATATAATGTAAATAGGGGGATTAAGATAAAGGTTTGCATTGTAGGTAAAGTTACTTTCAAAACCATCTACAATTTTCTTTTACTTTTCCTCTAAAAACTGGTATATGTTCTGAATATTATAGTTGGCTTTGGCATATTATGAGAAACAGTTTACTAGTATTTTTCCCTTAAACTTTATATTTTCTAAAGAAAATGTTTACCTAGATTAATACCCAGGAAATTACATTTCAACTTGCAATTACTCAACATACATATTTTTATAATATATGTAAAACATCACAATATATTTTATTCGAGAGTTTCATTTCTATTGCAACGAATGGTTTCCCAGCTATTTTAGCAACCTGATTTTCTTTTTAGAAAATTGGTGACAACATTATCTTTTATTGAGTGAATGCTATATTATACATGCATTTATTTTAAATTGTAGTTTATTGCATTTATAAGCATCTTTCAGCAGGCTATGGCTTAGATATAAAGTCTTCTTGTGAAACTTTGCCATCTGGTGGTGATTGATTACATCTGCAGGGATTCCAGGGAATGAAAACTTACTCATAGAGCTTCAAAAAAGCTTATAAGCTAATCTGGCTGCAGCACTGAAAACACATGTGACTTTGTTACATAGGAAGACTATCATGAAATAGAGCTTTCCTTCTTCCTGCATATACTCAATTCATTTAAGATCTGCTTTTCAAAAAAAGGTGCGGAGGCACTGCCCTGTTGATCAATGGATACTCATTAATGAAGCAAATCTTCACTCTCCATTACTAAGAATTTGGAACTCTCAGTTTTCCTCTAAGCTGCTCATAGTCACTTATGACTATGAATTTGACAGCAAACTTCAATAAAGTAAATCCTCTATGTGCTTTTTTTTTTTTTTTGCTTTCTAAAGAGTGTCCCCCAGGTACTTATGGTTATGGTTGTCGGCAAATATGCGATTGCCTGAACAACTCAACTTGCGACCATATCACTGGAACTTGTTACTGTAGCCCTGGCTGGAAAGGAGCAAGATGTGACCAAGGTAATATTTTCTAAAAATTGTTCATTAAAAAGGTGAGATGACTGCCTCCCAGAGTAAATTTGTGTGGGTACTTTTGCTATTTCAGTTTTCGGATTAGAATATTAGACAACAATGAAGAATGCTGAGATTTTAAATTCACAATTTGTAAAGCTTATTAAGATCCTATTCCCACTCTATATGCATAATGAGACACAATTCCTTGTGTTTTAGATGGCACTGACCTATTACCAAACATGATTAAGATCAGATGTAATGCACAATCTAATGTATGTTTAGTCAAAAGAAAACCGTTTTACATTCATGTTTTGCTTCTCATCCAAGAAGCTTCTTCAGCTCTTGAAGAAGCTTCTTGGATGGGAAGTGAAATGTCTTCAAACAAAAACCAGAAAGTCCAGTTGTCTCTTTAAAAAGCACCTTTGGGGACAACCATGACCTGATGTCTGAGAATCTCCATAGATGTTGTTTTATATTAAGAGGGTTTGATCTGAAGTAAATTGGTTCAGGATTAAAAATTAAACATCTACCTATTTGATCTAAGTACATTTCCATGTCTGCCAATCAGATTTTCCATTAGCCAAGATATAGTGTGACAAGTTTGATTGCAGATCCCCAACAGGAGATGAGCAGAGAAGAAGAGACAAAATTGTTGGGCAAGCACCTTCAAACTGTAGTCCATTCTGTTTTCCTTCACTCTTTTATGCTGCTTCCCTTTCCCTTCACAGACCCACTGCCTCCAGAATGGCTGAATTAAGCAGAGGAAGAAATGTTTTAGCCATAGTGGCAAAGATTCTGCAGACACTCTGGATAGTGCTGAGACCTGTTGGTGTAGAGATTAATCAGCAATACTTAGGTTGCCAAGTTCTAGCAGTTTATGGGCATGTTCCATTTCTGGCGGACTGATTTTTTTTTGGGGGGGGGGGAGAACTAAAACTGGTTTGGATCAACCTCAAATAAAAACAGTTGGATAATAACACTGCTGGTAGTGGATTGTTCTAAAGTCTTTGACGGAGCTTTATTGCCCACTGGAAATTTGAGTCAGCAAATTCTACTCCATTGTTTTAACTACTACTATACTCCTCTGTGTGGAGTGACTTTTAAGAACCAAGCATCTTAAAGCAACTCTTTCAAATATATAATTCAATAATGTAATGTTATTGTTATGTGAAAGCATAGTTTCAAAAAATAATAATCTGGGACCTTATCCTTTAGTATGTTTTCAAACATACTTAAACCATTTATAAATTAATCATATTAGACATTTTCAAAACATTTTAAGATTGAAAGTGATGATCCACAAATGCCCTCTTTCAACCTTAGAACGGCCATTCTAAAATTTGTTCTAACCTTACAGGAACTGTACCCATTTCCGAATATTATGTTCTAGCTCAGAGAAGGGAAGGGGGGAGGTTGCAACAGTGTCAGAATGCTGCCAATAGGTAAGAAGAGAGTTCAGATGGAACAACATTTTTATTTCAAAATGTATCATACACTTTTAGTATACTGCATATTGTTCAGGGTTAGGCAGTCAGAATAAAAATATGCACCTAGTACTTCTTTTATATGTTTATGACTGTCTTTTCATTTGTTTTCTTTTTCTTTTCTTTTCTTGTTTTTTGCAGCAGGGGTGATCATTGTAGGAAACTTGAACAGTTTAAGCCGTACTAGTGCTGCCATCCCATCTGATTCTTACCAAATTGGAGCCATTGCTGGAATCATCATTCTTGTCCTTGTTGTCCTTTTCCTGCTTGCATTGTTCATTATTTATAGACAAAAGCAGAAAGGGAAAGAAACAAATATGCCAGCGGTTACCTATACACCTGCCATGAGAGTTATCAATGCAGATTACACCATTTCAGGTAGGAATATAATACTGCAAGCATTAATTCTATCCCTGTTAGACATATACACTTTCTGGTTTTTCTTCGCAAATGTTTCGCTTCTCATCCAAGAAGCTTCTTTAGCTCCAAGCTTCCGAGCTGAAAAAGTTTCTTCGATGAGAAATGAAACATCTTCAAAGAAAAAAAACCAGAAAGTCCAGTTGCCTCTTGAAAAAGCACTTTTGAGACAACCATGACTTGGATGACTGAGAATTGCTGTAGACATATGTCTGTTAGACATAATTTTAGCAAAGAGAATTTTTAAAGTTGTTTCAGTGGTTAAGGGCTTTGTACATCATTAGCAAATTCTATAGGAGCAGAAGATTTTGCTTTGATTGATTGGTTGATTATGTGCCATTAAAGTGTTTTCAACTCCTAATGACCACATAGATAGACCACAGTGCTATGAAGAAAAATGAAAATCTAGAATTCTTTCTTCCTCAGTATAGCATTTTATGGTTGAAATTATTTAGCATCTCTCTCTTACTTGTTAACCACTAACTTTCTGTACATTGCTTAGCTATAATGTATAACCCCAAAGTAATGTAATGTCTTTAATCCAGCAATATTTGATCTCCAGATGTTGTTGAATTACAGTTCTCATCTGCCAAAGCAAAGAGTGGCTACTATTAAACAATGATGGGAATCCAATAATATTTGGAAAAATTTACTTACCTGTCTTGCTTTATCAGGACAATTTATAGACAGTTATTTCAGTAATGTATGGGGAAACCAAATTAACATTCATTGCTCCTGCTAATGAATTTATTACCTATTATTTAAAAAGAAATTGATATATGGCGGAGGGAAAGGAACACATATATTACATTGCAAATGTATGGATATGGATAAGGCCAGGGGTGGGATTCTACCAGTTTGGACTGGTTCTATAGAACCAGTTGTTATGAGTCTGCGCAGTTCGGAGAACCAGCAAATTGTGCCCCTGGCTGGCCCCGCCCATCTCTGCCTAATCAGTCCTTATTGCAAAAGCACAACATTGCGTGCATGCCCGACATTGCTGATTGTGTTTTTCCCGCCCAGTCACTCCTTAAGGTATTTCTTTTTTTCCCCCCTCCTGATGATCAGCTGTTCCTATGATCACTCTGCCAGGATTGCCCTCACTTACTTATTGCTTCACCCAGGAGGCTTCCCTGAGGTGCAGGAAGGCAAAAAAATGGAGGGGGGCACAGCACCCCCACCACCTCCATTTTTTTACCTTCCTGGGGTCCAGGGAAGCCTTCTGGGAGCAAAAATGCCCCCCCAGGCAGCTCCCCTAAGGCCCAGGAGGCCCGAAAATGGAGTGCAAGTGGGGGTGCTGGATGCCCCCCATGTTCCAGTCCTTTCCTTTCTGAGCACCAGGGAAGTCTTCTAGGAGTAAAAACGCCCCAGGAGGCTCCTCTGAGGCCCAGGAGCCTCAAAACAGAGTGCCGGGGAGTGCTCCTTTTTTTATCCTTTCTGAGCCCCAGCTAAGCCTTCAGGGAGCAAAAACAGCCACCTAGCCACATCCATAGAACTGGTTGTTACAAAATTTGAATCCCACCCCTGGATAGAGCAGTATTATATCTGCTTTGACCTTTATATAGCCTGAAAAAAAATTATACCCCATTTTGGTAATAAACTGCATTTGAAACATCCACATAAAAACTGATGAAAGGCCAGCAATAATTTGAATCATTAAATAAATCTATGAAATATTAATTGACTGTTTAGTATATTTTTAAAAAAAGAATCATAATAATTGAGGAAGAGACTAAACTATGTTCAGAAGATGAATTTAGGAATTAAAAAGTATTGCAAAGCAATATATAAACCATTCTTAATCTGTGCTTTAATTCTAGGATAGCTGTTGGATGGTTCTTAAGAATTACGATATAAAGACAAGGCTGGGTAATGATAAAGAGCTACTTTTTTTTTTATTTTCAGAAACCATTTCTCATAATAATGGTGGAAGCACTAATAGTCGCTACTTCTCCAACCCCAGCTATCACACTCTAACACAAAGCCCAAATACAGCAAATGCCAACAACATGAATAGGATGACTCTGTCAAAGGTAAGAAAGTAAAAAGGCTGCATACTTTGTGCTAGATGGATGTATCAACTGCCTGTTTCAAAAAAGACTACACTTATAAAACGCCACACTTTTAGTTGCCTTCTATACAATGAAATATATCATTATTTATCTCCTTTACCTTATTTAATTTGAAACAGTCAAACAAGAACCAATTGTTTGTGAATCTTAAAAACATGGATCCTCAGAAGCGAGCCCCCGTCCTGGATTACACAGGGACATTGCCAGCTGATTGGAAGCATGGAGGCTACCACAATGAATTTGGTAGGAACATAAAAATGGACAGTTCTGAACATGATACTGTAGATTTTATAAATTAGGAACAATTAGTGCAATAAATAATGCAACTATTCCCAGCAGAAGAGACTGCTAATATGTTTAGATTTCCTTGTTGTCCATTATTTACAGGAGTTTTTGGAAGTGACAGAAGCTGTTTAGGGAAATCCTTGAAAGGTGAGTATGAAATTTCCCCAAAAGAAAACACATCAACGTGTAGTAGATTTCTTGAAGTTAGACAACCCTGGACCTGTTACTATTTTGGATAGAACCCATAAAAATATGTAGGAACTATAATTAATACTGAGCAAATATTAATTCATGAACCTCAGAAGCACAGGTAGCCCTCAACTTACAATGTTTCATTTAGTGATCATTCAAAGTTTACAACACTGAAAAAAGTAACTTATGACTCTGTTTCACACTTATGATGGTTGCAGCATCCCCATGGTCAAATGATCAAAATTTGGACACTTGGCAACTGACTCATATTTATGACTGTTGCAGTGTCTTGGTTCATGTGATCACGTTTTGCGATCTTCTGACAAGCAAAGTCAATAGGGAACCCAAATTCACTTAACACCTGTGTTACTAACTTAACAATTGCAGTGATTCACTTAACAGCTGTGGCAAGAAAGATCGTAAAATGGGGCAAAACTCATTATCTCAATTATCTCACTTAGCAATAGAAATTTTGGGCTCAATTTTGGCTGTAAGCCAAGGACTGCCTGTATCAGAGGTGGTATTCAGCAGGTTCTGACCAGTTCTGGAGAACTGGTAGCAGAAATTTTGAGTAGTTCAGAGAACCGGTGGTAACTTTCCCCCAGGAGTGTGGAGGGAATGGTGATTTTACAGTATCCTTCCCCTGCCCCGCCCACCAGCCATGCCCACCATGCCATGCCCCCAGAACGGGTAGTAAAAATTTTTGAATCCTATCACTGGCCTGTATGTTTTGATACTATGTAAAGTTTTTAAATATGTTGCATTACTCCTGAACTTAAAGAAAAAGAATACAAAAAATAGGTTTTTCCCTTTGGCCTTTTGAGCCTCTTTCAAGCTATCATTTTATTTAACAGAGTTAGAAACTTTTTGGTTATTAGGACTCCCCGTGCTCAGTCAAGAAATCCTTACTAAACTATTTCCATATATAGCTGCACCATTTCTGCTGCCAATGAACATTAACTCACCATCTCCTTGGTTAGACTTTTTGGTTTCACCAGCAAAAAATTATGACTCTTCATTACCCCATAACCTACACATTCTAAACATTCTGAGCTCCTTCAATCTCCCTTTATAAGATTTAGTTTTTCTTCCTTATTCTCTGAACCTCTTCAATTTTATCTGAATGTTATAAATGTGCCTAGAACTCATTGCAATACTGAAGTGGAAATACTAATCCCCATGATTCAGAAAGTATATTTCTGTAGATGCAGCCTAAAACAATGTTGGCTTTTTCTACAGCCTCATAATGATTCTGATTTATATCAAGTTTATAATCAGCTACTATTCCAAGGACTTTCATTTTCATTAAATTTACTGTGAATAGTTGAAACAATGCAGAAGAAATCATTGGCTTAGTATGAACTAATTTGCTTATTTGTTTCACTGTTACTGCTTTATAAGTTGCACTAAAAATAGAAACTTGACAAATAACTAAAACATTCCAAAGAATAATTCTAATTTGTTATTCATTGTCATTCTATAGTATTGTTAAATTATCATTTTTGTGTTTTCTTAGATCTAATAAAGAATTCTGAATATAATTTAAGTAACTGTTCCTTAAGTAGCTCTGAAAATCCATATGCTACTATTAAAGATCCACCAGCACTTATGCCAAAAAATTCAGAATGTGGATATGTTGAAATGAAATCGCCAGCACACAGGGATTCTGCCTATGCAGAAATTAATAACTCTGTTTCATCTAACAAAAATGTATATGAAGTTGGTAAGTTCCAATTTTAGAAATTTACCACTTTTGTGACAGTAACCTTTGTTCTGTTTTTCTCATTTTTTGCTTCCACATCAGCAGTCTGTCAGTTTCTACAACTCTACCATCTATTTAAACGTAGTCTATAAATAATGGTAATGAACAGCTTGATTTTTAAAAAAATCTTAAATTAGAAAACATTAGGATGTTCTCCTAGGAGGCTGTTCTCTATCTTATGTTGTCATGATAAAATACTATTTTGAAATATATGCAAATTGTTTATTGCCATTATCAAAAGAGCCTGGAAAAAGGGAAAAACATAATTTTAAGCAGAAATTATTTAAGTGCTACATGAGGACTAATTCATTAGTTGAAGAGCCACAACCTTAAAGCTTTTTCATATAACTTATTTAAAAATTGCTAGTGAGTCCAAAATGAAGAAAATGAAACTATTATGTCAATAAACACACATTTATTAAATAGAAATACTGTGAAAATGAAGAACCTTTTCATAATTTCATTTTGGTTTTTTGGTAACCCCCCCAAAAAAACAATATAAAATTGTTGAACGTTATCATCTGAAAACTTGGCAGGACTTATTTCTCACAAGAGGCAACTATGCCCGAAAATTATTTCCAATTTTGCAAAGAAATAAAAAAGATATTGGCAGCTCTTTAAAAAAAGAGTTTGTGTTCAATTTGGCATGTGTTATCCTGCTATATAATTCAGCTACAATTCCTGAAAATTCAGCTCAACTTCAAATTTCTTGTCATGGAAAGCAGGGTAAAATTAATTCAATAAACATATAAGCAACATGGGAAAACAGCAACTGATACATTGTGCTTTCCAGTTATAATTAATGGGAAAGCACTAAATTGGATTTTGAATTAACTTTAAGATTGGAGCCTAAGCTTCATCTATCTTGTTTGGCTGTTACAGACGGACATTAAACAGCTTGAGACAGAAAGGGGGACCAGTTAGTCTGAGAAGTCTGTGTTCATGGGGAATAACATAGGGCCAAGAAGGAGATAGGTTAGGGCAGTATTATCTTATCCATCTGGAAGCTCCAGTGTAATGAAAGACAAAAATGACCAGCAGAAAGAGTTTTTGTGGAGACAAATGCAGCAATTCCAGAATGTGCAAGTGTAAGACAAGATCCAACGGATGGCAGCTTTAGCAAAGGAAATCCAAATTCTAACAATTTCAGGACCATGAGAAAGAATAAGTAGTGAGAGTTGTTGTTGCTACATCATTGAGTGCTTTCATTCAAAGTTGGACTGTCAAGTATCCTAAATAATTCTAAAGTTTTGATATTGAATTGAACATCACATTAACATATTAAGATTTTCCCATAAAATTACTTTTATTTTATCTTTTATTTTATTATTATTTTTTATATTTTATTTTATTTCATTATTTTATTTTGTATCACATTGTATAGCCATTTTACATAATGACATGTACGTTAATGTACTTTTATGTATATTAAAATAGCTTTCTACTTTTTACATACATTAACATAATATTCCAAAAAGGTACCAGATGATCATATTACACTACAATATGAATCAATGATTCCTCAATTTTTTTATACCTCCAACAAAGAAAGTTGATTATCCTTTCAAAACATTATTTGGGGACTCCAATATGGTCATAATGTAAGTTTTTGATGAATCAATCTCAAATATATTGATACCTTTTAAAGTTTGTAAGCACATGAAGCCCTTGATAGATCATTGCATTAGCAAAGATTTTTATTCTGAAGTCCATATTTTGAATATCTCAGAAGTTCCATTTTAAAAATATACTTAAACTTTAAATAGAGATATGTTACAAATTTTACTTCTGCCATGGATTCTTTCAAATAATTGAGTATCTCAGATTCCAGAGCATCTGGTGTACATGGAACCATTAGGACATGTTTAAATTGAAATATACCACCACTGATGTGAACTGGAGGACCAAATTTAATTTAAAGTCAGGATAAATCCTTAAAATAACCATGATTAGTTTAAAGTCACAAAAGCTTCTACTCCAGATTTCCAATAGAACATTTTATCACCTATTTTTAAAGTAGATTTTCCCCAAAGATTTCAGTTTTATGAGTTTCATTACCGATATGACCCAAAGATTTTTTACCACACATACACCTGGAAATAAAACACGTTTTCTGTGATAGATTGGTTGATTAGATTTTTTTATCCCACTTTTATTGGAGGGGGGCAATGTAAGATAGTGTATATATATCCCCTCACACTTTCCTGAATTGTCTAATGTCTTGTACCCTAAGAACTTCCTGAAACACAAGAAATCTCTGGATGACATTGGCCTCATGTATATTTACTATTGGCTGAGGCAGTTAAGGGAAGTTACTTCAAAAGAGTTTAAAAGCTGTGGGTGGCAAACAAGTGGGGAATGTCTCCTTTTCTGGCAAAGCTATTTGCTACCAGCAGCTTCGTCCCTTTGAGAGCCCTATTTAAAGCATGGAAAGTCCTAAATGAATGAATTCATTAATTTTGATTAAATGTTATTATTCTTTCTCAATTACAATATCAAAGTAATAATGCATACTTTTTTTTCAATTGCAGAACCAACAGTTAGTATTGTCCAAGGCAATTTAAGTAATAATGGACCCATAAGCCAAGATCTTTATGATTTACCAAAAAACAGCCACATCCCTTGCCACTATGACTTGCTGCCTCCTCGGGATAGCCCTGCAGACAAAGATGAAAACAGTGAATAATCCTTGATGAGCATAATCAAGTTATCTTGAAAAGTGGAATCTGGTTATTCTTCTTCTGTTTTCCTACCTGCATCCAGTAAAGGTTTGCTGTACATAAAGGAGGAGAATCAAACTATAGTTTCTATACACTCACTGCTGATGAATAGATGTCAAGCTTGAAGTTCATGTCAGATTTTTCATCAAACTTTTCTTTAAAAAGCCAAACATTTACATTGTGATGCATTGGTTCAACACCCAAGCTTACAGAACAACGCTTGTGAGAACTCTACTATTCAGAAGAAGAAGCCACTTTTCACCATCTCAACTTATATATGTTGACATACATTTGTTTCTTTTTATGACTCTGTAATCCCTTTATTTTGGATAGGATTGGGTGACTGAATGGAGATGAATGTTTACTGGCTGGATGCCCTTCCTGATGCCCACATGGAGTTTGCAGTAGATATTTTCTCTTTGCGCCGTGAGATGGAAGCTTCTGCTGCTACCTAGGATTGAACTCTCAACCTTTTGAGTGAGAGGCAAATGTCTTCATTACTAGGCCCCCACGCCGCTCATATATGTTGACATACAATCAAGACAGCACAATCTGCCAAATATTCACTTAGCCAAGTAGTCAGGATTACTAGTTATGGGTAGGTGTTGTAAAAATAAACTGATATCACTTTTTCAATGGCAAAGATGGTATAAGGAGATACTCAAAGTATATTCACCACAATCCTGGACTTGTTGGACAAACCTCCAGGATATTTATCACATTGCTGGTAATGGAAATATAATACAGAACAGAAATATTTTTGAATAGAAAAAAATCAGTGAAAATTGAAGATTGAATGCCTAGAGACCTGAAGACCTGAATCATGAAATGGGATTTGTACCAAAATGTCTTCAAGGACTGGATGAGAGAACCCAGATATAACATATGTACACTCTGAATGAGAAAAGGTTTCAATTCATCAGCAAGGAGGAGTATTCTTCATCTGAAATTAATTGAACCAATCTTTGTATGCTTGTTGAAAAGGTACCTTTTATGATAGGAAAGGAATAGGAAAAAATGCTAAAGCTGGACTTTTGCATTGTTGAAAACTTGGCATGTGTAGCCCACATTTCATTAATTTGTATTTTAAAATAATGTAGCTGTGTTTTCTAGTGGTTTAGAACAACAGTGATGAAATATTATATTTTATAACCCTGTCAACTTCCCTTATTTCCAGCTTCATGAGATTTAGAGGTTCTGCTTTTATGAAGAAAAATATTATTTGAATCCATCAATTTCCCAACAGACTTAAAAGTTTCAATTTATCAATGTGTAAACTGTGGCAATATTCAGATTTTTAAAAGACAGATTTAATATTGGTGAAAGGGTTTATTTATAAAAATAATATTAAACTGGAGAGAACTTAGATATGATTAATTCTTTCATTAAAAATGTAACATCTCTGTTTCAAGGGCATTTTTCTATTTTTATGATTTAATGTGCCAATAACTAAATTTTCACATAAAAGGTAAAAAAAAAAAGGCAAATAATCAGTTCTCAATCTAGAATTGTTTTGTACAATGTAGCTACCCATTACTATATCATTTTTAGCCCTAACAGTAACAGGTTATTCCTTATATATGTATTAAATATAATTGTTGGATTTTTCAGTTTTCAGTTTTCTAGTTCTTACCATTCAATTCCTAAAATTGGTAAGTCATATGTCCTAGGGCTATTAATTTTTTTAAAAATATTAGTGGCTCAGATCTAACATAATTGAAAGAAGATAAGGGTAGGGTTGGAAAAGAAAAACTTTTCTAGATATTCCAGAAGATAAACCTGGATTGAAACTAAAATTTGTTTTACTTCAAAGGCATTCTCCATCCAAAAGTGCTGCCACAACTTGATTTAGACTTGGTAGGCAATGTCTTTGTATACTAAAACACATAATACACTTGGAAGATGCAAACCTGAAGGACAAAAGAACAGAATTTTGCAACTTAAACAGTTCAATATCTTGCTGAAGGATAAGGTTGGAATAGTGCCTGAGATAGCTCTATTGGCTTTTGTGTCATGGTATAAAAAGCTTACAAATAAAGACGATCGTTTTTTTGAAGCGGACTTCAGTCTTAATTTATCAGCAATTTAAGAGTGAAACAAATTGGCTTAGTACCTGAATTTCATTTTATCTCATATAAAGAAAAAATGTAATGGAAAATTCCAGTAAAAGAAAAAAAAACATAATGGAAATAAAACCTGGGTTCTCAAATGTAACGGGGCTCATCCATACACACATTGTCTCCATTGGTGCTGGCGAGGCTCCCTACTCCAAAATTCCTGTCTTTGTGTTAATTGTTAAATAATTGTAAACATTTATTTAAATAAAAGGACACTAGGAGATAGTCTAAAATTGTAAAATCATTTCTTTCCTTATCTCCATTTCAATTGGTGGGAATAATTTTCATACAGTTGAAAAGTAGTAAAAAATGAGCAGGTTATTGCGAGATTTCCAATTTCCAACTGATAGCATCTTGGCTTATAATACAACAGATTTAACTGTGGCTGAGAGGAAGAAAATGTGCAGTTCATAATTCAGCTCCTAGGATAGTTTGTTGTTGTACTGTTATCATAATTTTAATAGTTTTCAGTAATGTTATTGTGTAAAGGAGTATTTATTGTCTTTTTGTGTTTTAAATTAAAAAGAGGAGTAGTGATCTGTCATTGCTGGTTGGAGAACAACCTTTCTATAAAATGGACTTCACGTTTAGTGTTTGTCATTCTTCTTTGAAAGATATTAAGTGGAACAAAAATTCTCCTGATATCTAGCATGAGGATATTTACCTACAGAAATGTGAGACATTAACTATATGGTCTCAGAAGGGGTTGCAGATTCCCAAGTCCTACAGATGAATTCAGGAGAGGAAGGAGAAATAATAATACTTTAGACCTGACAGATGTGGTTAAAATAATTATGTAGCTTGTCTATTGTCTATTTCACTATCCTTTACCTCTATCAGGAAACTTAGCAGAGAACCAGAGAATGAAAACAGCAGTTATAACTGTGCAGGACCTCATCAAGAGAAGATTAACAAATAGATACTGTTTTTCAAGTTTCTTTCCTGTTATCTCTGGTAGCAGAAGAAGTCCTGAAATATATATAATGTGGAATTATGGTAAGTAGAAGAAATTCCTACTTTGGAAGGGCATCTGTTTTTTATTAAAATCTTATTGCAATAAACAATCGAGATTGAATATTATCAATGTTGGGTTCATACTCCAAGGGTTAATGAACAAATAGACTTATATATTACTAGTGATAAAGAAGGCAAGGAACTGTGGATTTAGAAATATGGATACAAAATAAACGTGTTGACTGATGAAAGATGAATTTCTGTTTGTCTATGTTTCCTACAAAGAAAGCAAATAAATCCAGATGCCCTATTAAGTAAAAATATTATCCATTCATTGTTACTCTACTCTTTATGTTCATGTTTACCAGTGGTGGTATTCAAATATTTTTACTACCAGTTCTGTGGGTGTGACTTGGTAGGCATGTTGCGGCTTGGTGGGTGTGGTGTGGCTTGTTGGGCGTGGCTTGTTGGGTGTCGCAGGGGAAGGATATTGTAAAATCCTCCTTCCCACTCCACTCCAGGGGAAGAATGTATTGCAAAATCTCCATTTCCACTCCAGGGGAAGGATACTGTAAAATCCACATTCCCACCCCATTCCAGGGGAAGGGTACTGTAAAATCTTCATTTCCACCCCACTCCAGGGGAAGAATGTATTGCAAAATCTCCATTTCCACTCCAGGGGAAGGATACTGTAAAATCCACATCCTCCCCACCCCACTAACCAGCTTTCCAGTTCTGTTCTCCTGTGCAAGGCAACAAACGAAGACCCAGCCGATCAGCTGGGACTCAGGAGGCAAAGAATAGATGGGGGCAGGGCCAGTCAGAGGTGGTATTTGCCAGTTCTCTGAACTACTCAAAATTTCCGCGATTGGTTCTCCAGAACCTGTCAGAACTGGCTGAATACCACCTCTGATGTTTACTTTTCACAAGAAGAAAATACATTATTTAGTCCATTAGAATTCCCAACATTATGTAGCCAGCAATTATCTTACGGCATTTACAGGTTAATTAAAATTAAATTGTAATTGCTTTATAATTAAAAGTAATGTAGGAACAGCTCTCTGAAACCCCAAAATTTTAAACACTAATATTTGCATGCAAACAAATGCAAGTGACTGAATAAAGCCCTTGCCACTATCTCGAAGGTCCAGGAGAGGGCAGTCTTACCACAAATTTTCCCTTTGAAGTGAACATGCCTTGAAATGAATCAGTCACCCAATTTTGTACATTTTCAATTAATTTAATATAAAAAAAACCTACCCAGTTACACCAGTACATTTTTATTTATTTGCTTTTCTGATTGCAAATCTGCCATATGAAATATAATACTAACCCAGAATATATACTGTAATCACTTTGGAAGCTCTAAATTAGAAGGAATGATAGCATTTGTTGGATTTAATTAAAAAGGCATTTACTTTTGTGAACTACAGTTCCAGTCATGAAATGGTTGAAATAGCTAAAAGGATGTAGGATTTTTGGTGACTATAGACTGTCCTCCCATAATGTCCACCTTTAAAGCCCACGTGCATAAGTTTGCTGTAACTTGTTTCCCAAATATGTGCATTCTTAGAGACATATATGAGAAATCTTTCCTATCTGTTCCCTTTTGTCATCTTTTTTTATGTAGCATATGAAAAAGAAATGCTACTGCCTGTCATTGCAGGAGAAACAATTTGGGAGGGGAAGAAAGTTTCATTTCTTTACCTCTGTTGTTTGTGAAATAATCTTTAGGGTGAGATTATCACAATGGATGCCAGCATTGTCCTGGAAAAAATATGTTGATAGGGGAATACTTTCAATAGATGTTGATGCCCATGAAAGGCATGTTGCTGCTATGTTTATCTTCCTTTAGACCGGCTCCTTCACGCCATCACAAAACAGACACATCACTAGTTATGCAGTGAAGTCTGACAACTGTGTCCTGACACTGTTGCCTGACTGTCTGGTAGGCAGTTTCTTGTGAACAAACCAAGAACTAAAACAACAATCAAACCCACAGTTTTCTATTTTAATGGTCCAGGAAGATAGCGGTTTGAGGAAGGCTGCTGGGATGAGTCTTCCCCTTCACCATATCTTTGGCTTTAATAGGGTTATCAGTTCTGGCCTGCAAAAATCCCCAGGATACCAACATAACTTGTTTGGCAGCTCAGATCTGGTAGCTGAAAAGTGTTAGCTTTAACCTTATTTATATATTTTTTCAAAGCTTAAGGGGTTTTTAACAGAGTGAATAAAAGCTATTTATATAATGTCTCAATATTCAATTTTTTCCCTTAGCCCCTTATTTTTAGATTTTGAATTATAGCCACATTTGCTTTCTGGCCTTGTTCTACCCTCACTACACACCCCACTTGGTGCAGAATTGTTCGTCCAAAGGTTTCTGGTCTAAAGAAGAAGTTCAAGGAGAGTCCTCTGCCTCTTTTTCAGCCACCCACTAATTTTTCTGATACCCTGTTCTTAATCGTTGTCATGGATCCTGATCTCCTAGGAGAAGCTTTGGCAAGGCATGGATGTCTTCTGAACATTCATGCAGGAAAACAAATTATCTGAAAGGCTTCTTGACGCAATTCATCCAATTGTGAAACATGACTTAAAGACAGCACTATCAGTGCTGTTTTTATCAGTGTGTTTCTGGGTTCAAATCAAGGTGCTGATGGTAACCTATATAAGACTTTATAGGTGACCACCAACACCTTGAATTGAACCAAGAAACATACCAATCATACATAAGCCTTACATGGCTTGGGACCAGAATACCCGAG